TAGTATTTTTTAAATTTTTTAATTATATTTAATTTTTTTTTTTATAAATATAAATAAAATATTTAAGAAACATTAGATCATTTTTTTTTTTTATATAGATAATAAATTTAAATTTGGAGGAAATTAAATATTAAATGAAGAAGTATGAACAACTTATTTATCTAATAAACCGTGATATTGTAATTAAATCGCTTAATTAGGTGAAACAATTAATTAGTGTTGGATATCTAATAATTGGAAAGCTGATGTTTCATCCAATAATTAAATTATACATTTATTCAGAAAGGGCCTCGTTAAAATTGTCCCTGACGAAAAGTATCGTATACCACAATTAATTTTTAATATGCAACTAAACACAAATAGTATACTATGCTAATATACATGGTACAATTTAAAATAATTTTTATGACAAATACAAATTTGTTAATGTTGGTCTTAAGTCATATCAATTTACAAAATTTAATTCATTCAACGATAAAATATCTAAAGTTTTAACATCACAATAATATATATTATAATTAATTTATTATTATATAATTACATTATACACGAAAGTTAGAAACTGTTAAAAACTGTACCCATTTTTAAAATTGTTTTAGTAAATTCATTGATGCGTGTTACTTATATATAAAATATTATTATTATTAATTACCAATAATAATATTTAATTTAATTCAACAATATATTGAGTTGAGATTAAAGTTTTGTAAAGACTAAATAATTTATAATGGTTGATATTTAGGAATATGAATTGCAAAAATAGGATTTATTATTAATAATAATAATAATAACAAATATTTTATAACTTGGCTTAAAAAAAGAAAAATATTGAAAAGTTTAAAATGATTTTAGATAAATAATTTAATTAACAATACATTTGTACAAATAATGAACAACTATGATAATTTAAGTTATAAATAACAAGGAAATAGAAATACTATTAAAGTTGCATCTTTTTATTTGGGATAGAAGGATTAATATTTAATATTATCTAATTTATTATTATTTAATAATAGGTATGCATGAAAATAATATATAAATTCCTCCCTTAAGATTTCTTCAAAATTTGTTTATTATGTAAAGAAAAAAATTGTAGAATGGTATATTTACCTACTAAATAATATACTAGCATTTATCATATCCTCTTTAATACAAATTGTAATAAGTACAGTATAATTATTATTTGTAGAATAAATTGCAGTAAAGATGTAAAATACGATTGAGCGTGGATCTTATCAGAATAATATTTTTAATTGAGAACGCTCTATTTTTTTCCAACGTTTTTCAATCATTTTTATAGGTAATACGTAAAAAGGATTTGTAATATTGCTGTTTAAGTTACTTTTCATATGAAAAGCTACCTACCCATATTTCATATCAACACAATGATATAGATATTATAATTTGCTTCTTAATGTTTATATATTTTAGTCGTACAATATACTCTCACACTTCCTGTACATCCAAGTCGGTCACCTATCACATTGTGTAACATTTTCCAATTAATTTTTTAACAATAAATTTAAATATTGATACTTTAAAAATTTAAAAAATCTTTGATTCATTAGTTTAAAACAGAAATTTGAAGTAGGAATTGAAAATACGAAATTTTTGTTGGTCATCGTTTGCGCATCGTCTATCTGTGCTAAAATATAGTAGGTATATTGTTTGCGTATCAACACAATATTGAATAATTTAGAAGGGTATAAAAATATTGAAAAGAATATAAGTCTTAAATCAAATATTAAAAGAATTTTTAATATCTCTAGTTGAATTTGAAAATTCAACAATTATTGTTATTAATTCACTTAGGTAATAAAATAAGTACCTATATATTATTGTGTATATATAATTAAAAATAAATTGGCTTATTTAATTAAAATTTAAATAATAGTCATAATTAAATAGGTACATACTACAATAAAAATCTGTAAGTTGGTTGTTGTCACGAATTAATGTTATTGAACTATACATTTTTAAACAAATATACATTGACAGTATTTGAAAATTGAGTAATACGAATGTCAAATTTTAACTAGAAAGTTGGTGTACAATAACTTGCGCTTTTGGGTACTTATAAATTTTCCCAGTTCTATTGTTATATTATGTGTGTATTATGCTGATAAAAAAATGATAAACCTACGATAATATGAATAATATCACGTAAGGTAATTGAGTGATGTAAATAAAGCATAACCCAAACATTGAATGATGCGTAATTGTCTTACAAAAATGTAGAAGTTATCAATAGTAATTTGCAAACAATGAACAATTAGAATTTCATTATAATAAACGTATATGTTGTGAAGTGGGGAACTATTTTGTGATTCAAAAAAGTTACAGCATAGTTATAAAACACAAATATATTTAATTATCATTTAAGAAAAAAGTATATCTGTACATTTTTGTCATCGTACAATAAATTAAATTTTATTTTTAATATTTTTAAACTTATACGATGAATAATTAGTCAATATATTATATATAATAGTATATAATATATATATTTTAAGCAATATAAGCTTTTGTTAATATCTCTTTTATTTTAAGTACTTATCTAGTCTCTTAAAAAATAATATATTCATAATAACTTAATTAAAGTTCACTTTTTAAAATAGTTTAAATTTACCTATAAATAATATGATAATTTATATCTACATATTTATGATTATCACAAATTACGATAAATAGTTAATTATATTAATGATTCTATTCACAAAATGTTTTAAAATATTTGTTTAGTTATTAACTAACACACCTTAAATTTACAACAGTAACATTACATTCTATAAGTATTTTTAAATATTTTTTTATTTTTTTTTTGCTGTATTACAAGTTTAAGTGATATGTATACTATTATTAGCTCATCTACAATTATTGTCTTTATTCATAAGTTAATAATTATAATACAATATTTCATATTTTGAATTCGTATCATGAGCTCCATATAAAAAACATAATCCTTAAAACGAAAACAATATATTTAATCAATAATAGACAATAGTAGTCATCATAGGGAAGTGCTATGATTTATGATCGAGAAAATTAAATATATGGTCTCCTATCCATCTTAATGATTTAACCGACCTTGATTTTTTTTTTTAAAGATAATGATATCAAAACTCCAATATAGCAATTTAAAGTTACAAGATTACAAACATTGAAATATAGTTTTTGATTATATTTATGTGTACTAAAAATATTCAAATAATTTATTTCATAAGAAAATACTACAATCTAAAATTTTAAATATTTACATTATATAAATATATATTTATTATAGTTGCTAAATAAACAATTGCAGAGGCCAATTAATAATTGTCAGAAACAATGCATATTTGATTTATTACTGTCTACTAACTTTTTATAATAAAGTATATGTTGTATAAATAATTAAATTTAAATTGGATTAGCAAATAATTTGGTTTAAAACTGTTTAATTTCATACTGAAAATTTATTTACCTAATTGATAAGACTAATGGTTTTAAAAAAGCCCAATAAAGAAATAAAAAATAATATAATGATTAAATATGTGATATACGTTAAAGATGATATTTTTTTTTCAGTATTATAGTTGAAAATTGTAAGTGCTTTGTGTACATGTATACTGTGATCGAGAATCGAACTCAAAATAATTAAATTTATTAAATAAAACAGTTGATGTTTTTGATAATAGTAACTATAGCAAAAATATCTAGAAACCGGTGTTTGATCAGTCACTTCCCCAGTACAAGGTCGACGCACATACTTACAGAAAATGCGGCTCGAACAAAGCTATTATTATTATATTATTAGGTACATTAAATCACATGGTCCTTCGTGTCGGGCAATGATCGAGTAAAATAATAATAATAATTTGTGATACTGTACTTTTTTTTTTAAAGAGAGGCCCGTAAACAAGGTACAATTGCTTATACCTTAGAGAATAGTACAGTATAATACTCTAATATAATGAGTGTCTAAAATTTTTATTTGGCAGCCATAATGGAATAACATAATTTTTTACGAGACAAAACATGTATAATATTTAAAATTTTTAAAATATAGAAATTCAACGACTAAATCTTGAAAAAAAAAACAGATAACATTATTCTTTATAATTTCTATAATGGGTAGTTATCTCTTAATTTCAATAATTTAGTATTCATAAGAAGTAAAATACGGAGAATTTGAGGAGAAACATGTGTTATGTTTGTCTTATAAACACGCAACAAAGCAATTTTTTGTTTAGATGTTCTAATTTGAAGTTTTTAGTTTAAATATTAAAGTGAATTGACCTAGTATCAATTTTTTTAAATTTATAAGTGAAACATGAGCATTTTTAATTGTGTGTTACGAGTATTAAATTATAAATTTTTTAAAAAGAATTTAAAATATGTATTTATAGTATTCAAACTATCAACTCGAAATCGGATTTGCTGAACGAAAATATTTTATATTGGGTATGGCTTCTTCTTAAGACTAATATAATATTATTTGATACGATAAATAAGATGTAAGAAATGAAAATTTGTGTAACGGTCATAAGTAATGTAATAAATGCGTAATGTGTTAGGTAGTATTTGACCAACCGTAGGTTACTTATGTCTTATACTTCATAAATATAGCAATAAATTAGAAAACGTGAGACTTTTTTAATAAATAACGGTGGTGTACTGTATAATAGCGAGTATATATACCTATAAGACCAAACCGCATGTATATACAGCATTGAACAAATACAAACACACTATAAATGAGCCTATTATACTCCAAATTAGTGTATAATGAAGGGTAGTAGGTATAAAATAGTAGTAGTATATTGTATGGCGTTTGATTAATATCAACCAATTAATAACAGGTAATTAATAATATTAGAATACACGACCACCTATAATATGATTAATTTTATTAACGCGACGTTTTATCGGAGTTGGCCAATAGTGGTTGCGTGTTTGCGGGTACCTATAAAATGATATCTGAAAATATTAAACGTGTTATAAATTATAAGCCACCTTACCTTATGAGTAATTTGAGAAAACATCCAAAACCTCTGCACGTGGCCACCTCTGCTGTATAAGTAACAGTCATTGTTGTACGATATTGTCGTCACGTCGTCGTCGTCGTCGTCGTCGATATTATGTACAATTATTATAATATATTATTATTACAATACCGGTGTAGTATCGCGCTAAGGTAACCACTGCGGTTGACGATGTGCGAGGAAAAAATTCCCAACTTTAATATAATGACTAATAGCTACAACAGTTTTGTCACTGATTTCGCGATACGTTGGTGGATGGACGGATATTAGACGGTTTTATCGTTATCGTAAACGTGCGCGCGTTAATCATATACAATATAATAATTTTACTGCATCATCACGATAAAGCGTAAAACACGATTAATGCTCTTATTTTTAATCGATACAGTGCAGGCGGATTTCCGATGGACTGATGATCGTTTTTTGACTGATAGCACTTGGTGTGCGGGAGGAGGGACGGATGTGCAAAAATTAAAGAAAAAATTTACTCGGACGTGAGAGCAACTAATCTACTGGCGCCGGTGTCCGACGACATCTCAACGCGGTGCGATCGGAATAATTGCAGTTGCTCGCACGAACGTCGGCACGACACTGCGGCGGCATGTGCACCAACCAATTCATATTATGGTACTACATGCCGCGCACCGACGACGAGTCGCCGCCGCCACTGCCACTAAGTATACATATATTGGCTATATTTCATGAGGTCGACGCGCCAGCCGGGCGACTTGCGATTTCAGTTTTTACTCACGCAAATGAACTTTAAAATAATAAACATATAATAATAATAATAATAATAATAATAATAATAATAATAATAATAACAATATTAAAACATCGCGTGGTGTTTGTATTACACCGTACGGTAACAACAAAACCTATGTTATAATTATGTGTGCGGGTGGGTCAATCACATACACTAAATTTATCATCACATTTTATTATACACGGCTATTATTCTCACAGGTATTGTAGATAATCTTACAATTACGGGCTCTGCGTGAATGTAAGGAAAATACGTTATTTTTTCGAATCACGTCATCGCTCATCATTATACGATTGACGTAAACACGTAACGTCACGGTTGCCGGTTGTTATATTTTTGAACGTTTATACGACGTTTTTTAATCAAGAAAAAATCCAAAATTTCAAGAAGTGAACAAATCGAGTGTGTCAACGCTTAAAATAATAAACTAAATCAATTAAATACACCATTTAAATTCAATTTATAAATGGGCGATGGGTTGATTTAACAAGGTTTTAAGTTTTAACTATTGTTTTTGTAGAAATACTATTAAATATATTTTTTAGTATCGACCAACAGCTGGTATCAATTTATAAATAAAGCATCAATCGTCAGCTATTGAAAAATTATTCTAATGTCTATTTATATCAGTTAAATCTATACGGTTAATATTATAAAGAAATATCTGATATTTATTTCTATAATTTTTTTGATTTTAAAAATCTGTCAACATTTTTAATTAAATATTAATCTTTCTATTATAACTTATAATAATAAGACAATTTAAAGAATGAATTTATTAAATAAATATACAGATACCTCTACGTATATATAAACCGGTAGTGTACCGCATGAAATATATAAAAATTTAATATAAAATATCAAAAAATAAATGTTATAAATTAAATAATTAGAAATTTAGAACATATCTTGTTACTCTAATCACTTATTTATCTATACTATTAATTTGATTAACTGTCAACATATCAACTCTCAATATTATTAGTTGTAATCAGTAGCAATATACTTTAAATAATATTGTAACGCTGAAAAATATTTATTGGTTTACCTGTCTATCCAGGTTTAATGTTATGTATGTTATGATCAAAATTATTACACGATGCGATCATATCATCAGTTTACATTTAATATATTGTATGTATATGTAAGTCTGACGCCACTGATTTTAAGTTTATAAAGTTTTAATTACGAAAAAAAATTAACATTTAGTATATTATAAATTAGAACGGTAAGACATATATGTAGATAAGTTTCAAGTAATGTTCTCTAAATCGTTAATAAAATTATTGAAGGAGGTTAAGTCGAATGTTGGAGCCTATACAGGCTACGGACTACAGTAATAAGGACTCGAATATTGTTTCACGGTCATATTATTACAGGTGTGATCATATAATTGCGAGAGAAAAAGTATTAATATTGTTATTTAAAAATAGTAATACGTTAAAATTTATTATTATTGTCACTAAATAGTGATGGTCGTTGTAACTACTCGTTACCAAGTAAATATATTGTATCAACGTATTGATACATAATCAATTGTCACATGTCAGCTAATAAAATACGTCATTGACATAAAACTTGTACGTCAGTATGGATATAGGATATAATAAATATATACAAGTTTACAACAACGACAATGATTATGAATTGTTAATTTTATACTATATTATAAACTATAGCGTACCTAGTAATGACTCATGTGACTATGAGAGTAGTATATTAAGTATTATAGTAAATAAAAGATTGGTTAAAAAAAAATGTATGTTTGTAAAATATAAAAATAGTAAATCAGTAAAATAGTTGGTTATCTATTAACTGATATACCTACTGTATAAATTTAAAATTATACTTATTTATTTTACATAAACGTAATATATGATTTTTATCAACTTTATTTTTTTGAATAAAATCAAAACGTATTTTTTGTCACTAGGTAGTTATTTTGAATAGGTACCTACTTATTTTAATATTAAATACTTTTCTGCTATATCTTTCTTTTTAAATATCAGTAAATCAAATAAGTTTTAGTTATGTATGTACTGTGTTATTTATAAAATATATAGTTATTTATTATGGTAAATATATGATACTTTTACAATACCTAATGGTCCTAATGTATTGAACATATACATAGGTACTGTAATTGATATGTTATCATTTAATCAGTAGTTTATTTGTAATACTTTCTTCAATATTATTTTTGGATATAAATATATATTTATTATTATATGTATAGGTGTTTTAAATTAATTAACTTAGATTATTTTATTTTATTTTTTTTTTTTTTTAGAGGGAGTCTATAAAACGGAATATTTTACTACGATCCACTAAATATGTTCTATTAGCTGATAATTATTTTTATCTATACCTAATTAGTAATTATTTAATTTTATTATTAATAAACGGAAGATACATTTAAGAATTACCCGATAGATCACAATTTTCATATCGATGTGTCATGGCATGATGTGAACTATTGAAGTATGAATGTGTCTCACCTTGATATGCGCCGATATAATATAATATGATGTGATTTAACAATTTTATATTAATGTTACATCACTAGCAAAGCCTGTATACTAAAAAACGATACTAAATATATTAAATAATTATCTAATTTTGTCTTTAACAAATTCAATTATAAAACATCCACACATTTTATTCTGAATTATTGAATGTAGTTTTTATAATAAATACATGTTGCAGTCATATAAAACAATTGAAAATTTAACATAAATTACATTTTAATGAAGTTTATTTAAAATATTTTGTATATTTCCAGGAAGTTATATAATAAATATTGAAAATCCATCATAAATTAGAGTCACACAATTTATTATTTTAGTCTTTAGACCCGTGATTCTCAACCGGTGTGTGTCGCCGAGTAAGTCCAAATGTGTCGCGTGAGGTACTAATATTAAATGACACAACATTTTTTAAACAATTAATGAGCGAAAAAAAAAAGGTCTTTTTTATATTGTATCTCTAGTTGCTTGAGTTAGTGTGTCACCATTTTCGTGGATCTAAATTAGGGTGCCATGATACAAAAAAGGTTGAAAACCTCTGCTTTAGACTATGATTTTGATGAAATAACTAACTCGTAATAAATTTATTGGTTAGTTTATCATAAAATAGATAGTAAGTATCTAGGTTATAAGTTTATTAGGTACATTAATTTTGTTTACTGATTCGTTATTCATAATTATTTTAAAAACAACAAGGATTCAGAGCTATTTATTAAACGACACCCTACGTCTCTACCTGTAGCCAACCAAATTTTTTATTTTCCTCATCTTGATTTGATTTTATGTTAATATAACTGCTGTATTAATAATTCATAAATATAATTCCATTAGGAACCTTTTTGGGTTAAATTAAAGTTTTATGCTTTTCACAATATTTTATTTAACCCTTTCAGACCTGACTTTTTTTTTAACGAAAAAAAAATTTTTTTTTTTTCATTTATCTTTTTAAATAAATATAGAAAGATTTATATTATAAATAAAATAGAAAAGTATGATTTTAAGAGTGATAAAACATTAAAATAAATTTTATTAAAATTCGGGTGTGGAATTAAATCTTGTCAAGAACTGTAGTAACGTCAAAATTCGAATAGGTTTATTTGAAAATTGAAAGTCATTATACTCCAAATGAAATAAAGCCATTAATTTCAGACTGATTCCGAGACGCCTGATGGCCATGGACTGTGGTTTATATTGGGTGATCAGCGGTCTACCGTGTTTGATCTGTTGTTAGATTGTTCTGCAGTGCTATGAACAAATCTCCCCTCCTACGTGCTGAGGAGTGTTGAACCATTTAAATACGCACTAGATTATTACGATATATTATGTTCGCGAGCACACACACACACACCAGTAACATAACCAGTTTTATTTGGAAAGATGGTGATCAGTTGGTCTACAATATATTATTATTTATTTAATATTTTAGAAAAATATAACCTTCTAGCTTAATAGAATTTTTGGTCTTTGGAGTTCGAAGAACAATTTACATGCGATTTTGGTTTTTCCAAGAAAGTTTTGGTATTTGTTTAGTAATGCAGACTAATTATATAAAAATATAAATATTTTCTTAATCACACAAGTTACATGCGCCTTAAATTAATACGACGCAGAACAAAAACTTAAAATAGTATCTTTTTCTTTTATCCTTAAGAGTTGAGAATTTTGGACTTGAAGTACTTACTTATATTAATAGCCTTACAGGTATTTTTTACTTGACGTTTTCGGACTATTCTATGGCATATATTATTTGTGGGTTAATTAAAATAATTTTAGTTAATAAAATTAACTTATTGTTGCGTGTAATGATATTTATTAGGTAGCCCATGATTCATGAATTAACTATCAAGGTCAATACAGCATTTTTAATGAATATTACACTATTATTATTTACATTTAATTTTCTTATTTTAATATTTTTGTGGGATTAAAATCTGTTTTTAAACTATACTTAATTTTTTTTTTTGAAACTTATTGATTAAATTAAATTATTAAATATTTGTAAATAATAATTTATTTATGTATAATAAGCAGGCTGTTAAAAAGGCAATTTTTTGTGCCTTATTATGTTAACCTTGGATCATATCTTGCGCTTATGGGCGATAGCCAATATAAGTACCTTCTATTGAAGAATGTATTTTGTTCACTTTGTTACCTACAAGTCTATGCAAAATCTAATAATACCAGGCACTGCATAATCCAGCCTATTGAAATTGTTAGGGAGCAACTCAACTATAAGCCAAACATTATATAATGTATAATAAAAAGAAAACAATACCCATATGTATTTA